TTGGTTATGGCGTTTGGGTGTTTTGGGTGCACGGAGTACTGTTATGGTGGGGTGGAGGAGGAATTTAATGAGTATTGCAAGACGGGGATATGCTGTGGCTTGTGGGTTAGGTGTGCTATGCCGTGCTGGACTGTGCTGGACTGTGCTGGACTGGGGGTTAGGTTAAAGGTATCAGGAGGGGGTGGTTGAGATTGAAGATGAGGGAGGGCTGGGTTGTCGCTGTCTATGATAAGGCACGATGTTAGGTTCTTGCTCTTGGAGCTTCAGGCGAGGCGATAATCATCGAGATGGATGATGAGAGCAACAAATACATGTATATGCCATTGAACCCCTGTATAGCTAGTCATATGCGATAAGAATTTTTACCTAGGCAAGCCCGTGAGAGTGAGGTAGACAGCAAGTAGCAGCGTGCTCCCGGCCCGGCTGATGATTGCTTGATTCGGGCCCCATAAAAAGAGAGTAGGAATCTCGACCTCCGCAATCCACCCCGACTATACATACTCTTGTACAGTACGGTGTGCAACGGTCGAACCACCTTGCATATACCGAATGAAGTTGGATATTCTTCTTCATGTTTAGAAAGACCAGTTTTACAACATCAACTTAGAAGTCACAACTACCCCTCCTCATCGCGGGGTAAGCAGTCATCGTGAGCATCACCATCATCATCTTCTTTATCATCCCCGATAATCCCCCAAACACCATGCCATTACCACATACAAACTCCAAACTAATCAATGCCGAAAGATGCCCTTCTCCCACCACAGCCACTCAGGGCAATTCTGCCCCGGCCACGCCAAAGACTCCTTGGAGGAGATCATTCAACTAGCCATCCAGAAACGCTTCCACACCTTCTGTCTAACCGAGCACATGCCCCGACACCAGGAGGACTTTTACCCTGAAGAGGTCTGCCTCAACCCCTTCTCCCCCATATCTACCCCAACTAAAAAAAAACCCCTCCAAGATCGAAGCCGGCAACACCGAAGAAAGCCACCTCGCCAACGAAAAAGCCTACTACGCCGAAGCCACGCGCCTACGCACCAAGTACGGCGCGGCAGGAATCAACATCCTCATCGGCTTCGAAATCGACTGGATCCGCGAACCGGGCTCCCTCGCCCTGATCCAGCAGTCCCTGGCCGCCCACCCCTTCGACTTCTTCATGGGCTCGATCCACCACACCTGCACCGTGCCCATCGACTACGACCGCGCCATGTACGAGCAGGCCCGCGCCGCCGCCGGCGGCTCCGACGAGCGCCTGTTCGCGGCCTACTTCGACGAGCAGCTGGCGATGCTGCGGCAGGTGCGGCCGCTGGTCGTCGGGCACTTCGATCTGATCCGGTTGAAGAGCGACGAGCCCGATGGGAGTCTGCGGCGGTGGGGTCTCCACGAAGATGGGGTCTGGGCGAAGGTGCGCCGCAACCTGGCGTTCGTGGCGGGCTACGGGGGTCTGCTGGAGGTGAATTCGGCGGCGTTGCGGAAGGGGATGCGCGAGCCGTATCCGATGGGGGAGGTTTGTCGGGTGAGTTTTTTCTTTCTTTCTTTCTTATCAGACTGGAATTGGGGAGGGGGGTTGTGTTTGTAGCTGGAGGGGTATGATGCTTGGGGCTAATGCATGCACCGCAACAGGAATTCCTCGCCCTCGGCGGCCGCTTCGTGCTCTCGGACGACAGCCACGGGCTGGACCAGGTAGGGCTGAACTACCACCGCGTGCTGCCGTGGCTTGAGGCCGTGGGCATCACGACGGTGCATTATCTGGCGTTATCCGATCAAGACGACGGGGTCGTTGATCCGCGGTTCCCTCACACGCGCGTCCGGGGCATGTCGGTGGCAGAGATGAAGAAGTTGCCGTTTTGGGAGGCCAACGCTACTGCAGCCTGATTTTGGGGTCTGCATGGGAAGAGCTCGGAGCATGCAGGGGATTTGCTTTTTGTGATACATGGAAGACTATCTGCACGGTACTTATTTTCTGGCAGAGTACATACTATATCAATCAATCAACCTATCTATCTATCAATTCGAGACAGTTGGGGTCGACTAGTCCAATCACCCAGATATCACATACAAACACATCCAAGCAAACACATCCAGGATCTATTGTCAATCTCCGGGACAAATGACATCAACTGGCAACGGCAATGGCAAATGCGGCACAGGCGGCAGAAGCAGAGCCTCGAGAAGAGAGGAAGCGTCCCGACGATCTGTCCCGTTCCCCCTCCACCCAATAAGAGATCCCAAGCACGTTCGACACGATTCATATCAATCATAATATTCCTCCATAGTTTACCAATAACCAAACCTCAACTGTGATTGCAGAACGAGAGTCTCCAACCGCGCCAAACACAGACAGACAAAAAAAAATACTCCCGCGCCAAGCGAAACCCACAACAAACGCGGTCTAGATTGAGGGAGGGGCAGCATCATCAAAGATTGGAGAAAACAAATGATAATGAAATTGATCTATCCAAACGCTAAACCCGGTGTTTTCCACCCCCCAAACCCAACAAACATTGACTAGGTAGTTACGTACTGTGCAAACATGATCCATCCCAAACTCTAGTTGAGTTGAGTAGTTGCGTCCTCCAGTATCTGATGTTCCAGAGCATGAGTAGACTATAACTAACCCCCGCCGCCGTCCGCCCCCCCACTTCGGCTTTGCTTTGCTTTGGGAAGGAAACCTTTAAACTAACCTAACCTTCTTTTTTTCTTCCTTTCCCAAGTTTCTTTCCTTCCACTCTCCCTCTCTCAACCCCGCCACAAACTACACTACACTACACTACCACCCTCTCTAAAACCAATCCCCCAAATAATCCATCCAAAATGGGCGTCACCAAGACCATCCTCACCCCCGGTACCTCCGACCAGAAGCCCGTCAAGGGCGACTACGTCTCCATCCACTACACCGGATGCCTGTACAAGGAGGGCGCCGAGAACAACATGGGCGACAAGTTGCGTTTTCCCCTTTGCCGTTTCCTTTGCCTTTTACCTTTATCTTGCCTGCCCTGAGCATTCATTCCCTACCTACATCTTCCGTCCGTGGCTCAGCCGCAGAAAACTGCTACCTCCCATCCCAACCCGCCTCCCGGGACATGGAAAAAATAGCATAGCAGAAGAGCTAGCTAGCTACCTCGCTCTCCCGCTTTCCCCCTATACTTTTAAAAATGAACATTCCCGATTCGATTCGATCCGATCCGATTCCCCATCCTGAAACCAAATCCTAACTTAGAAATAGATTCGACAGCTCCCTCAACCCCGGCCGCGGCCCCTTCAAGGTCCAGATCGGCGTGGGCCAGGTCATCAAGGGCTGGGACGAGGGCGTCCCCACCATGAACGTCGGCGAGGAGGCCGTCTTGACTATTTCGCCGTATGTCGTCGCCCTTTGCCCTTACCTTTGCCCTCACCTTTGCCTTTGCCCTTCTAGCGAAGTAATGAGATGGCGGACGGACCATCGACCTAGTTCCAAGTTGAAAACTAACGATTGACAGTGACTACGGCTACGGAGCCCGTGGCTTCCCCGGGTTGATCCCTGCTAACTCGACTCTTGTTTTGTGAGTATCCTCCGTCCTTCTTGGGCTTGGTTTTGTTTTGAGAGGGTTGGTTTTTTTGAGGGAGCAGGGAACGGTGCTAATCTTTTTGGGGACATAGCAAGGTCAAGCTTCTCTCTATCAACTAAATTGGATTTTCGTTGAGGGGTGGGAAGTTTTATGCAAATACAGAAAATTTTCTCTTTATTTTGGGTCCTCTTTTTCTGGAATCTCCTGGAATCTGGAAATGAAATACTAAAGCAATGTAATCATTAGCTACCTAGCCATCGTGTATGACTGGGATCGGAGTAGCGGAAGGGGTGTTGGAGATGCGGAGTAACGTAGACTAAACTTAGTGGTTGGATATACGTGATCTGGAGATTGATCTTCAGAAGCCCATCTTCGTATACTTCATGCCAGTGGGTAGATCGCTTAAATACCCCGTTATAGCATGCTCACTACACCACGTATGTATACCCATTATAGCATGACACTCCTTCCGCACCATCCATCGACAACGCACATACCATATCAACCACCCAGTCCAGCTCACTTACGCACCACGAACAAAACTACCGTGCAATCGAGTTGATATACTCGATCCCCTCCGCCCGATACGTATCCGCCTCGACATAACTCTCCGTCCGCGGCAACCGGAAGACGAAGTTGGACGGCCCGTCCGACGGCGTATAGCGCGGCCACTGGGGGATCCCGTCGACTGTGGCTCCCCCCCAAAAATCAGCCAACCCCTTCTCAACCACTCATTCATATAAGACAGCGGGGGATACATACCGCCATGCCCGTTCGGATTCAAATCCGTCACAAACGCCGTCCACATCCTCGCGGCCAGATTGCCCAGGGCCAGACGCGCGGGATCGGAGCCCAGAGGGGTGATGGTCTGGTTCGGGTTGGCGAAGACGAAGGGGATCTAATCATCTTAGCAAGTGTTTCGTCCGTGTTTGGGGGGGGGGGGGGGGGGATGCTTTGGGCATAACAAGGACTGGGCTACCTCCGCAAAATGCTGCACGCCAATCACGCTCGTCTCGTTCAACGCCGCCACATCCCACCGGTACGCATACACCTCCGTCTCGTACCGCGCCATCTGCGTGCCCAGCAGCCGCCGCGGCGCGACCATGCACAGATCGCCCGCCATCGACTCGTACCGCTTGTACTCGTACCCGCGGGACGGCCAGGTGACGTTGCCCCAGCCGTAGGGGCAGCCCAGGGCCGAGATATTCGGGTAGAGGCCGAGCAGATGCGTCGCTTGGTCGCGGTCGAGGACCCAGCGTTTGGAGGCTTGCCGCAGTTAGACTAGACGCCTTACGATATAGGGATGATAGGAGACCCACCGATCAACTGCTCGATACACTCCTCGTCCGTGTTCGTCCCCGTGGTGCCGAAGCTCGTGCCCTCGTCCGTGTTGGTCCCGTGCAGGATGGGCACCTTGGCGAAGCGGCCTTCGGTGATGCTGATCTGGGGCTTCTCCTTGATGAAGGTGCCGTCGATGGTGCCGAACCATTCGAGCCCGTTGTAGGCGAGGGGATAGAAGGTCTCGAAGGGGACCTCGCGGAGACACTGCAGGGTGTCGGAGGCGGTGGTGCAGCTGTTTTGTCAGGAAGTGAACGCAGCAAGGCACTGCATCTAGGGCACATACTTTGTCTTATTCACAATCTGGTCATACATGGGTTGATACCAGTCCGTGCCGTTCCAGGGGGGACCGACTGCATTGCCCGATTCCATAATCGCTGTCGCACACGCACACATAAGCCCTGTCCAACCGGTGGGAGAATAGGATCAACTCACCAGCCCTGAACAGCCCCTCATTATCCCCATCATTCGTCACCAGATGCGCCCCAACACTATAAGCCCCTCTGCCCCTGCCATCAGCCTGTGTAGCTACCACCAAGAAGGACAAAAACTCACGCAGACTCCCCCCAGATCGTGATTCTGTCCGGATCGCCCCCAAAAGCCCGAATATTCTCTTTCACCCACCGCAAGGCCACGCGTTGATCCCGCAGCCCCAGATTCGTATTTCCAGATTCCTGTACCTCCGAATCAGCACAACACTCCCATCATCATCCCCCCTCCCCCAATCCCCAAATCAGAAAGTAAAGGAAGGGTGAAACGGACCATAACCTCCTTCGAATCCAAAAACCCAAACGCAGCGACCCGATAGTTGATCGACACGCCAATCACCGGTTTGTCGTTGAGTGCGCCTTGACGCAGGATGTAACTCATGTTATACCTTCAGATTCATCGTCAGTTCGCCAGTCCTCAAACCCCCCCCCCCCCCACGTTTCATCACCAGTCAGTCAGCCCTCTCTCCCACACCCACACCTTCCCCCCTTGACTATCGAGAAGAACAAGGGAAAACAAACCTCGGATCACTCGTCGCGCCCTGAATCCACCCACCCCCAAAGATCCACACCATGACGGGGAGCAACTCCTCCGTCCCGGAGACAGCGGCAGGCCGAATCACATTCAGATTCATGCAGTCCTCGCTCAGGCGCGTGTACCCGGCGTCCACGAGGGTGGTCTCGTCGCTGCCGTAGCCGGGGCAGTCGTTGCCGTATTGGGTTGCGTTGTAGTGGACTGTCTGCCCATCGTCATCGTCATCGTCATCGTCATCGTCATCGTCATCGTCATCGTCCGAGGTGTCTTCGGGGGAGGTGGACGCCTCGCTGTCGCTGTCACTGGCGCGGTAGCGGGTCTTGAGGGTGGCCGGGGTGAAGCGCGTGGGCTGGTCGGCGTACTTGATGCCGAGGAAGAGGTCCTGGGAGAATTCGGGGAGGGAGCGGCCGATGAAGATGGTGGATGGGTCTTCGGGGGTGGAGGGAGAGGGGGGGAGGGTTACGGTTGGTGGGGAGGATGAAGATGCAACAACAGCAGTGGAAGAGGTAGCAGCAACTGACGAGGAGGAAGGGGAAGCGTTGTTGGGGAGGGCAGATGTTGAGGAGGTTGCGACAAGGAGAAGAAGAGTGGTGAGGGCTGGGAGCCAGTGGGTTCCGGTCGTGGTGGTGGTGGTTAGACGGGCCATTGTCATACCCAAGGATCAGGAAAGAAGATTCCCTGTCTCGTTTCTATCTCTCTCTCTCTCTCTCTGTCTCTGTCTCTGTCTCTGTCTATGGCTGCCTTGCTGTCCCCGCAAAGGAGATCAGGCGATTTTATAGGCGCTACAATTGAACCATTGAGTAAGTCGATGGTAGAGACCGAGGTCCCTACTTTCTACTCACCATACCCAGTCTACATCAACCCCCACTACATACTCCATACTACATACATACTACATAACTAAGTCAAGCTTAACCTGCAGCAACTTGACATATTCGGTAGTCTCCTCCGAAACCATGCTGGATATGCTGGATCTCTCTCCATCGTTGCCACGAATCACACCGCAATCGGAGATGAAAACTCCATGTCCGACAAGATCACTCATAGGTGGAACCATCGCCAACCCTAGTCCGGTGCAACTCCGCCTCAAGTGCGGAGTCATTTTTCCACGCGTGATGCAGGCATGATGACGGGTGATATCATTCGACATGGGGGTCATTCCTGCTGCAGAAAAGAGGGGAATCGACTTGGCATTCATCTTGGCTCTCTCTCATCCTTGTTTCCCTGGTGGGTCTTGGGTCTTGGGTCTTGGGTCTGCTACTGCATGCACTCTTCAAGGTCAAGTATGAACATCATATTGGGAATCAAGCCGACAAGCCGGCCGGTTTCGGACTCTAGTAGATACGGACGGGAAATATACATCTGTACATATGAACAACTCAATCGGAAACAAAATGAGACACAAAAGGTGGCTGGGGTAGTAGTAAAGTATAGATGGCGTTATTCGTCACGATATACCTGCCATACCCCCCGGCCATACAGACAACAGTGACGCTCCCCCACAAGGGAGCCAGAGAAGAGAAAGGGCGGGCGAGTATGGCGGTGATGGAAGCAGGCCGCCGCCATCACCACCAGGAGGGTAAGAAAGGTATATGATAAAACACAAAGCACAAACATATGGGGAATAAGAAGAAAAGATTAGATGAGAGAGTTGATAAATGACAAGCGTGGTTTCGAGAGTCGCTCTCATCCGTCCTCCCGACCGACGGTTTCCTGTCTCCGTTTTCTCCTCCTTGTTTCTTTCTTTTGGTCATGTTTCCCCAGTCTATCATGGAACACACCTCGCAATAAAAACAAGTCGACCAGAGACCCTGGTCTAGTTCCATCCAAGTGAATTTTCAGCCATGACAGGCGCACTGATCATTTGTGTCCGACCAGTGCCACGGCTGTTCTGGCTGCCACGGGAGATGCGACCCCCGGCAGCAAGGGCAGCGGATCCGCGGCCCTCGCTCATCTGATCCACGGCCGAGGGGCTGCGCTGGTGCAGTTGACGCTTCTTGCGGTACCGACGAGCCACCCAGAACATACCAGCACCATAGGCGGCAGCACCGGCAACAGCGCCGACACCAATGCCAACGGCGCTGGCCTTGGTGGTGCCCGTGCTGCTCGTACCGGCATCCGACTGGTTATACCCTCCATCATCGCTACCCTTGTTGCTGCCGGATCCATTGCTCCCCGATGAGCCGCCACCGGACGACGACCCGGCGCTAACAATCAGGGGAATCGAGGGATCGATCATCGACATCAATGTCTTGACGGTCTGATTGGGCTGCTCATACAGTTTGGAGATCGGGTTGTGAAGCATTTGCGACAGGGTGTCCACGTCACCCGACGGGATGTAAGCCAAAGCAACAGTGGCGATGTACCCAGTGCTGGCCGAGTTGTCATACGGCTGAATGTCGTACATCACGACATCGCTGCCGTTGGCCGACAGGGCGTACTCGAGACCCTGGGGAACGTACGTGAAGATCTGCGACGAAGACAAGGGAGTCGTGGCCACGAAACTGTACCGAAGCTTGCCATTGAATCCGATCTGGATCAAGGTCGAGTTCTTGGGTTCGTTGGGAATGCCTCCAGCCGGAGAGATTGAGCCAGGAAGCTGCGCAGCAGCTGTCGTGGTGGTGGCAGCTTTGGTGGCAGTGCCCGTGGGCTCAGTCGTAGTAGTCGTGGTTCCGACAATGAGAATGCTGGATGGCATCCAATCATCTGCGTTCGCTGTGCTGGATGTGGGGGCTTGCGCAGTGGTGGTCTCAGCAACAGCCTTAGTGGTCGTTGGCTGCTCAGTAGTCAAGGGAATTGTCGCACTGGTGCTGGTGCTGGTGCTAGAGTACACGGAGGGAGCAACAGTCGGGGCAATGGTGGGAACAACAGTCGGGGCTGCGGAGACTGAGCCCGAAGCTTCCGTGGTCTTGGTAGCGATCAGAGC